GATGAAGATCCTATCCCTTAGCAAAAACACTTTGACAGGTATTGATATTTCATTATGTTGATCCAATTATGATTCATCTTTTTTATTTTAGTTGCATAATTTATCTTTATTTAACTATTTCATATTTTAGTAAATGAAGGAGATAGTTCATCATGAATATAACAATTTTATTTTTTTGTCAAAATTGCTGGAAAATTCATTAAAATCGAATAGCAAGGTTTACAATCATGAATATAATATATTGACTTGCCTAATAAACGTTCTATCTAAGTCAATATGTTCAAATATGAGGTTAACCAACATAAGGACATGCAACCTCAGACGTGTTTTGTTTCAAAAGACAAATCTTTTTAGGACTTTTCTTTTATTTTTAGAGATTTCTGTTTAAAAATTGTTGTATTAACTAAAAATTCCTTTTAAATTTTTTTAGACATTTTATACTAAAAGTCATGAACAATTAGATAGGGTTAGATTAGGTTACATAAATCCATATATAGTGAAATTGTTGTACATTGGATTGTGACATTGTGGCACTGGCAGGCACTATTCCATGGTCAATATTCAATATCTCCACCATCGAAAAACTGTCGCTTAGTCTGAATCATCTATCCGGTAGCCTCCCAGCAAACTTAGGTCTTGGGCTTCCAAACCTACGAGTCCTCTATCTTGCAGAAGCAGGTAGCCTCAGCGGAGTAATCCCTAACCTATCCAATGCTTCGATGCTCACGCAGCTTGAATTGGCACAAAACTCATTTACAGGGTTTATTCCTAGCACGCTATGTGCCTTAACAAACCTTCAGTCGCTTAAGTTACACAATAATAATTTGACGATTGATACTTCGACTCCAGAAGCAAACGCTCTCTCTTGTTTGGTTAATCTTAGAAGTTTGACATTATTATCCTTGGCAGCTAATCCGTTAAATGCCAGACTTGATGATTCCTTTCGGAATTGCTCTACATCGTTGCTTCAATATATTTATTTATTCAATTGCAACATGAGGGGTGACATTCCCATTGGTATTAGCAACTTGAGCAGCTTGATATACTTAAACTTGGCATACAATCAATTGAGTGGATCAATTCCAACTTCACTGAGAAGACTAAGGAATCTCCAAGCTTTGCTCCTGCCTGATAACAAGTTGCAAGGGTACATCCCATATCAACTATGTCAATTAGATAACCTAGCTTACTTACATTTGAGTAGTAATCAGCTCTATGGTTCTATACCTTCTTGCTTGGGAAATCTAACCGCATCTTTAAGAGATCTATCATTGGCGTCCAATTCGTTGAGTTCCACAATACCATCTACCTTTTGGAGACTTGCCTATATCTTGTCTGTAGACTTATCATCCAATTATCTAATTGGACATCTCTCACAAGATATTGGAAACTTGAAAGTTGTGACAGAGGTAGATTTATCAAATAACAATTTATCTGGTATCCTACCAAGCACTATTGGGGTTCTTCTGGATATGGTTAATCTATCCTTGGCAAATAATAATTTGGAAGGCCCTATTCCAAGTTCATTTGACGGGTTGCTAAGCCTGCAACTCTTGGATTTGTCCAGAAACAATTTGTCTGGAGTGATTCCCAAGTCTTTAGAAGCTCTGTCACTTCTCAAGTATATGGATTTGTCTTTCAACAGGCTCCAAGGAGAAATTCCAACTGGTGGACCGTTCCAAAACTTCTCCGCTCAATCATTTGTCTCAAACAAAGCACTCTGTGGTGCAGCCCGACTTCAGGTTCCACCATGCAACAATAGTACACTTGAACCAAATTGGAGGAAAGCAAAATATATCATCCCAGGGATTATATCAGTAATTCTCTTTGTGGCCTCTGTATCTATCTTTGTACTACGCATGAAAAGGAATGTGGAAGTTGCAAGAAAGGCTACCTCGTTGTCTCAACTTCTTTGGAGAAGATTTTCACATCTAGAACTTCTAAGGGGCACAAATGGATTTAATGAAAACAACCTACTTGGAAGTGGGGGTTTTGGTTCAGTATATAAAGGGACACTTTCAGATGGAATAGATGTTGCAGTAAAAGTTTTCAGTTTACAGCTAAAAGGGGCTTTCAAGAGTTTTGATAGGGAATGTGAAATACTAAGCAATATTCGTCATCGAAACCTTATCAAAATCATCAGCTGTTGCAGTGAAGTTGATTTCAAAGCCTTGGTACTGAACTACATGCCTAATGGGAGCCTCGAAAAATGGTTGTATTCTCAAAACTCTTCTCTGAGTATCCTAGAGAGGACGAATATAATGGCAGATGTTGCAGCGGCAGTGGAATACCTTCATCATGGTTATTCAGTACCTATTGTCCACTGCGATTTGAAGCCAAGCAATATACTACTAGATGATGATATGGTTGTGCATGTTGCCGATTTTGGAATTGCAAAACTCTTGGGTGGAGGAGATTCTATAACCCAAACCATGACCCTAGCCACAATTGGGTATATGGCTCCAGGTGATATACTTGCTAATTTAATATCTTTCAATTCTATACATGTTGTCCTTAATTATGTATAATTTTCATTTCATCATACACATGAATATATAAGTATAATTCATAATGCAGAGTACGGATTGGAAGGAATGGTTTCAACAAGAGGGGATGTGTATAGTTTCGGAATTCTAGTGATGGAAACATTCACAAGAAGGAAGCCAACAGATGAGATGTTTGATGGGGAAATGAATATAAAGCAATGGATTGCAAACTCACTAGTATTACCAGATGCAAAGATAGATGAAGTTGTGGATGCCAATTTGCTTGGGATTGGGACAGAGCAGGAAGATGATGATCATGTGAGGAAGAGGGATTGCATATCAGCCATTATGAGATTAGCTCTTACTTGCTGTGCAGAATCACCAGAAGAGAGGATAAGTATGAAAGAAGCTGTAGCCACACTCAAAAAAATCAAGACAAAGTTCTTGAAGGACGCTATTGCAGGAAGAGGTGTGTTGTTAAACTGTCCTCTTGTTCAACAAAGCTTCAATTAATGGGTCCTATCCTATGACATGTATTTCAAGCACTTTGAATTGATTCAATTTCAGTCTTTAATATAAACAATGTAGAGAAAGGCATGCCGTTTTATTTGGGATTGATTTTATGGTGGGGTGTGTAGACTTATTATATAATATACATTACACTAGTCTTGGTTCTTGTTATGGTATCAGTATGATAGGAGGGTTTGTCTGTTGTGTTGTCGCTGCAACCACGATCCCTTGGGAGCTCCACCGCTGCTTTCGCCAAGCCAAGAGGCAAACAACGGCTGATTATGGCAGCTAGGCCTCCCACCCTATTTTTGTTGTGTGTAAACAAACGAGTTGGGTTTGGGCCCTTTTGGGAGCTATTAGCCTAAGCCCAACAAATCAAAATACTTAACTGAATTTGCGTAGACAAACCAATCCAACCTACCTTAACTATGTATCTGGTTTAAAAAAAAAAAAAAAAAAAAAAAAAAAAAAGTTTTATTTTATATTAAAGACAAGGAGTCACCAAAGATTTTCATAGAATTACGAATAAAGAGAGAAAATTGGTTGGAATTTATTTGATGCAGAATTGCAGACTGAAGAGCAATAACTAAAAGTTTGATTAATTACAGACCCCTTAAAAGTCTAATTCCAAGGGTCCCACCAAGCATGACACTATATATTTATTTTCCGTCTAAGGGTTGCCTAAAATGAATTTAAAATGAACTGGTATTATTATTATACCAGATTGTTTGGACTGAAGAGCTGAGTGGAAACCTTTCATATTAGCAGCAGGTTCATGCTTGCCATTACTCCTAGAGAGGAGAGAACCTCTTTGACTGAGGTCAGAGGTGGATATGACTAAAGGGTTTTTAGTCAAAGGTCAATGCAATAGGAGGGCATTATTTCTTTCTGATATGAAAGTTCATCTTTGATCATGATGTAAATGTGAATTTGCTGCAGGTTTATAGCCATGGATTCAATGGGGCTTCAACATTGCATATTGGATTCAAATATCTTTTTAATAAGAGAGTTATCCAAGAAAATGTGGTCAACTGCCAAAAACACCACAGCAGTTTACCCAAAAGAAAGAAACACACATTTTCCATTCCATATCAGCACAGATTCGGTGAAGTCAACAAGCAAAAAATTTATATGCAAAACAAGCAAAATATATGATTGACACAGTTGCTTCAAAAACAAGTTACCACGGATGTCAGAAATTACAATTGGAACCAAGAGATTACTTGCAGCAGTGGTTTAGTTGTTGTGTTGCGTATACAACATGCATGTAGCATAAAAATTTTCAGTTAAAAGGAGTTGTGGGTGATTAATTCTTAGTGGGAGGGGAAATTATTCATCACATTCGGCAGGCAATGCATTAACCCTTATAAGAAATAAATGCATACAATTTTTTCCTTTTTTGTATAACTGATATTGAGGGAGAGGAGGGGGAGTCGAACCAAGGACCTCGGATGTTGGGATAAATGCTCTTAATCAGTTGAGCTACAAGGCCCTTGCGAATGCATACAATTTTTAGAATAAATGTTTCCAAAGTCCAATATGAGCAATCAGCCCTTGGCACCTATGATTACATGAAAATGAGAAAATAAACTACTCTTACAAGTTGGAAAAGAAAAAAGAAAGAGAATATGTTGATATTGGAAAGCCCTATATGCACTTAAACTCTAACATGGATTCAATTATTCATGGGATAATAAATCATCGATGTAATTAACTTCATGAGGTTGAATCACAGCCATCCATCAAGATTAAAATCCAAATTAGAAGACATAACAATTCTTGGTTTTATATTATTTAAACCAAAACATAAAAACCCTCAGACCTTCACTAGATTACTGATGCAACAGGTTTATACAATTGCCAAAATAGTGGGAAGAATACAGTTTAATTATTAATTATTCAGAAATAAATTCAAATTGGCACATAAAATTGGAGTCGGGCATGAGTGCTTGTTATTTGTTTCCATGAACACTATTTCCCCTTGAGACAAGACAAAATGATTGTCTATCTCTTGCACACACCACCCTGACCATCCATTCCACTTGCACAGCTCAAGCCTGGCAACTCCAAACCCTCCAAAGAATTCGCTTCACTTCCAGAGCCAACACTGCCACCATTAAACCTTGCAATGGTGCAATCCGTGGCGAAAAGGCTGGAAGTTTCAAACTCTCTATCCCCTCCCATCACCGGCATGTTGGCTCCAATGTTGACCCGGCTCACATAATCGGGTCTGTAAGTTTGACCCAACACACCACTCACTTGGTTGCTCAAAGAGAAGAATTTAAACCCAAGATCAAGATGAGCAAATGTGTCATCTTTAGTAATGCCGTAGTTGTGAATCCTTGAGTCTTCTTCAGTTATGGGCACAACCTTGGCTGTGATCCTAAAGCTCCCTTCAACTTCAACCATCACATTGTTGGTGCCACCCACCCTGGTAAGGGATACAGTTGGGCCACTCGTGGATTGCCACCTGGCGCCTTCGGATTCAGGAAGGGTGATGAGCACGCCATCAAAGGAGAGGGCAAGGCGGTCAGCGGAGTCGTCCCACGTGGCTGTCTTTTGGGCACCGATGAAGAGCTGGTGTTTGCCAAAGAGGATGGCAATAGACTGGACCCAAGTGAAGTCCCTCTTCATGTTGTGGTTGCGCCTGCCAATGAAGTGAGCGTTGATGTGGAGGTTGGGGTCGGATAATAGGCAGAAATCGCGGTCTTTCTTGCCGTGGAAGTAAAAGGTGATGCCATCGCAGCCTATGAAACGGGGGTCTTGGCACACTGCTCCTGGTTGATCACACTCTGCGCCATTCAGCAAAAAAGAAAGAAAAGTAATTTCAGAACTAATATATGAAAATTTATCCTAGTTACTTGCTCATTAGCTTATTTGAAAGTTTTGAGACCACATTAGCTTATTATAATATGTGATCATGACTAATCATAAAGATAAATGTGAGAGGAGACTTACTGCAGACTGGCTTGCAAGTGACACAGTCAACCTCACATCCACCAGGGCAAGAATTGAGGCATGCATGTTCTATGTTGTAACTTTGGGGGTAGTACTTGTTCTTGCACTTGGCCTTCTTTGGTGAGGTTGTAGGAGTTGGAGGAGGAGAAGAGGAAGTAGGTGGAGATGGTGTAGGAGTTGATGGAGGAGGAGAAGAAGTAGGTGGAGACAGCGTAGGAGGTGGAGTATGAGGAGGTGATTGGTAATGTGGTGCCGGCGGTGGTGGGGAAGGTGAAGGCGAGGGAGTAGGAAGTGTTGGAGTTGTAGTTGTAGTTGGTGGTGTTGGAGATGGAGTTGGGGGTGTGGGGGTGTGGGGGTTGGTGGAGATGGTGGAGATGGTGGTGGAGTTGGTTTAGCTTGAGGAGAAGGAGGAGGAGAATAATATGTTGCATTTATCAGGCAAAACTTGGGGCACACATGCACAAGATTGTAACAATGCTTGTATTTTTTTATCGAACACCTTGCATTGCTTGGATTCTTAGCAATCCATTAGCATCAACAGGAGAATTGGAACAACAACTTGCATTTTGAAATGAGCCATTTGGAGCAAAACCCTTGAATTAGTTCCCAGTATATTCAAGGGAATTCAATTTGGTGTGTTTGAGTGAGAAACCCAGTGTTTGAATGCCCCTATTTATAAGATCAAAAAGGACCTATCCGTTGCCTAATATTTCGGATCATAAACTTCATAAGTCACTTCCACATGGTATCTTAAAAAGTCAAATCACATTGACTCCCTCTGCACAACATTTGTTATAATCACTTGATGTTGCCTTGCAAATGGCATCACTTGGACATGAAGGAAAAAAAGAAAACACTTTAAAAATTCATCTCTTTTTCCATGGCTTTTCTTCTTTTACTGGCGACATAAATGGTATGGCTTACGCGTCCCAATTGAGCTTTACAACCATGCAGTATGGTTTTATGAGTTAAGGCACCAGAACAGTTCACACCACTAAAAGCCTACATCAGAATTATGATAAGTAATAAGCATCTACATGCCCAGGTTCAGTTTTTCACTTTCATTTTAAGCAATTATCTGACCGACCCTACAATAATTCAGTATTTAATAATGATATGATGGTTTTGAAGTAATGAATTAATCAGGTTTTTTAGAAAAAGAAATGAGTTATTCAATTGGGAATTTGACAAATGAGTTCAAATATATGCATGGAAATGATAATAAGTTTATAGCTCCTCTCATGAGTTAACCAATTGATCCATACTCATCCATTATCCTTTAAACACGCAATTAAATCCCTTTTTTTTTTTTTGTATAAGTGATAGTCTAAACTACAGCCTACATGAGAGGGGGCACAACCAAGATGTCATGGGAGTTCGAACCTAAAACCTCTTATCTACAAGTTAAGGTCATTTTCCACAAGGCTAGACCCCATTAAAAAGCAAACAATGTAATTGATCTGCTATATGTGCCACTATATATTCTGAGAAGATGGTCCATATTTAGGTAGTAATTAAAGGGCAGAATTGGTTTTCATTTCCAATTATACTTCCATCTATATAGCTAGTACAGTTATTTCTTGCTCGTCATATATATATATATAGTCTCATCTTGTGGGTAGCTGGGGAAGTGGCTGGCTTCCAAGATGAGATAGCTGGGGAAGTGGCTGGCTTCCATGACTTCTCCATATAATCAATTCTTATGCCACCTTTTCTGCTTTTTTCTTTTAATCTAAGTTGAAAAAGAAGTTTTGTTGGACTCTGAATCATGAGCAGTACAATAAGGTCTAGCTAGATGCCATATACAAGGGGCACCTCTACATACTAACCACAAGATTAGGAGCAATATCCCTAACGTTTGTACTGCTTCTTTATTCCTTTCAACACCTCTGGAGACTATCTCTCTGCCCCTGCAAGTAAGTTTAAACAAGTTTCTATGAGCAAATATATATACAAACAGTATTTAAATTGATTCAAAGGAAAAATGTACCCATAATGATGTGTTCTGTCATTAGCTTAAACATTAGGCTTGGCTTTACACCAGTTCAGATATAACTGCCAATATATTGACTCAAATTAAGTTATGGCTTTGTACTTACAAGGATCATCTCATTTGATGAGGATGCATCTTGTTGGTGCTCCTTCAGCACCAAGCAACCTTAGAGGCAAGCAATGCACAGAATAGTTTCCGGGTTGGATGTCGTCAAGCTTTAGGCCTTCCACAGGAATGATTTCCTGAGCCATATATTAGACTTAAAAAGAGGTTAATCAAATTCCAATTACATTGTAAAGAAAGTCAGGAAATCATAGACAAACTTGATTTGAAAAACAAAATATATATCTTGCCTCAGATTTTTTTTTAAAAGAACACATAGAAGAAGCTTTATTCTATCAAATAGAGAATCTTACCCTGCCTCTGAGAAAGGCAACATGAGCTGGAATTGCTTCATCATAGGTGGCAATGGAAAAGTAATCAGTTCCTACATTCATAGTCAGGAAAATCAGTGCAAGCACAACCATTTGCTTTCAAAATGGTCAGAAACTTGATTATTTTATTCCTCAACCGAATTACCCCTAAAAAAAAGAAAAAGAAAAAGAAAAGGACTGATTTTGCAATGCAATTAAGAAGATTAGACAACAAATTAGTCTGTTACCAACAAGTTTGATGTCTGTGTTGTCTACTACCCATTTTGCTCCATCCTCCGTAAATCCCACAAAGCTCGAGTCGAATTCCTTTCGATGCATAAGCCGCCTATACAACGGAGTAATGATTATCAGTTTTATGATATGTCTTGTTTGCAGTGTTCATTTTGTTAATCAGACTCAGCATACTGATATAAAATCTTAATTGCTTAATCTGAAATCCAAAACGCTTAATCCTTAAATCCAAACCGACGTCATTTTGGACATAAGCACAATTCAGCACAAAAGCAACTATCAAAGAATCATATATATTTCAAGAAAATTACAAAGAAAATATAAGTAGACAATCTTTTTTTCATTTTGCGTTACCTGTCAGTATTCAATGTCTTGAAAAGGACCCGGCGTGTACCCTTGGGAATATTTAGGGACTTCATAACTTCAGCTGTAAAAGGTAGACATTACGCTTTTGAAAGGCTTCCAAAAAAAATTTAAAAAAAAGTACTTGAAAATTCAGATTAGAATTTGAACATCACCAAGTCAGAAATGCATACCAGTTATGTTGCTATCTCTGGGAACATCAACAACAAGAGCAGGACCTGTTGAAAAACAATTATACTGAGCATAAATCATCAACAGATAGAACAAATTACTTTGTTGTTCTAAGTATCATGCATAATTACCATTGAGGACATCCAGGTCAAGCTGATCAACATCAAACCCTGCATCAAAGTAGTCATCAAAAACATGGCCAGGCGCATCAACATGGGTTCCAGTGTGGACAGGCAAGTCGAACTCAGAGTTGTTGGTGAGAGAAGCATTCTTCATGCTGAGCTGGAGCCACAGGAAGTGGCCGATCCCATTCTTGGAACCATAGAAAGGAAGGTCCGGTGTGTACCTGTGGGTGATGTCAAGATTCTCCCATTGCCGTACACTTCTCTCCGTACGGGTTTCGGGGTGTTGCCGCCGCCCCCGGAACTGTAGACGGAGGAGGAAGCGAGGAAGAAGCAAGAGAGTGTGAGCAGAAGGGGTTGGTGGTTCATGGTTTTGGGTACGGTAGAATGAGAGCGGAGAGGCTGTGTTAAAAGGTTGAACTAAGAAAGAGGTGGTGGTTTTTTATGAGTAATAAATCAATAAAGTTAATGGTAATTAGTGATTCAAAATTGCAGTCAAATTAAAGTTAATGGGTGCCAGATTTTGTTTTTTGTTTTTTTTTGGGTAAAAGATTGTTTTTATCTTTATGAGTGCATTAACGCGTTTTTCTAGACTTGGGCAGCCTTTAGTTCATTATTTAATCTTCTGTAATCAATTTCGAGAAGTATCCATGACCAATCATGAATTAGATATCACATGAGATGTATATAGCAATTCTGCATTTGGTCCAACAACCGCCCTAGAAACACAAAGTTTGCTACACCAAATTTTAGTTACAAACTTCTGTGCCAATTTTCTTATTTGTTGCGAATGAATAAGGTTCGCAGTCTCAGTGTGAGTTCATAACTATTTGTTGTGAACGACAGTACTAACAGTCAATTGATATCTTAACATTTGTATAATAAGTTGGCGTCTGAAGTATTCATACAGTGGATGTTAGCATTTTTCTATTTAATACTTGTTAACGAGATCCTATCTTAATTAAGATATTTATTTTCTAGTTTATTAGGATTATATTTCTCTCCTTTTTGTACAGATATTGTGTAATTAGGTTTTTATCTTGTTTCCTAGTTTGACCCTACTAAGGCTACATCCTTGTACTATAAATACCTTCTTTTGGATAATGAAATACAACCTGAAAAATATTCTACCCATATTGTTTGACTATACTTGTATTATACACATACGTACATATTTTAATAATATTTTTGTTTTTCGTACACATCTTAAAAACTTAGTAAAATATAATTTTTTTTAAAAAGAAAATGTACAATACATGTATTATACATGTAATATACACATAATTTTTCACATTTAATACACATTTTTTACAAAAATTTTAATAATGTAGACAAAATTCAAGTATTTTACCAATATTTTTAACATATTATTGAATATAAATAATATATATTAAAATATTATATAGTGTTCGAATTTTTCAGTTGTACCTTGCCAAAATTTTACCGAATAAAACACGAACGTGTTTTGTTCATACTTCTGTATTTTACTGACTAGGAGTGGATGAATGTGTTCATAATCTTTTGACTGATATATTAATGACCCTCTTTATTATATATAGAGTGGTATATTTCTCTTCATTTTGTTAAAAGAGATTTCAATTTTTTTTAATTAAAAACAGAAAAAAATAATATAATGATAAACAAAGAAACACACAGTTAGTTGCTGCTGTAGTCAAATGAAAGTAAATAGTCATGTTTAAGGCCCATCGCTTACCAAAATCTGTTTCATAAGAATGTTTAAGCTTAGCTTAGCCCACTGACCATTGGAAATCTCATCTCCATCCTTGGTTGACTGTCAGTCTTGCAAACTTTTTTCTAACGTTCAAAGCGGCTTACGACACACCTCCCATAAATCCATGTCTGCTTTTAAATTTGTTTGGTAAGTTCTTTTAAATTGAAGTTGAAATTTTTATTTATTTTTTATTAATATTATTTTTTATATTGAGGAGTTACCACGTGGCGCTCTCAAGTGCAACAACCCAAAAGTCAGTTGCTGGCCCCTTTTTTTTCCCTCATAACTATATAAAAACCTAACCATTCGTTCATCACTTTCTCACTTAAAAATTTCTCAATTACTCCAAACATTTCTACTTGTTTGTCTTTTTTCATTTTGCTCAAAATTGTTGTTCCAAAGTATGACACAAAATTGTTTCCCAAAAACAAATGTTTGTGTAGTTTTTCTTATGCTTTAATTTTTATCATAAATAAAATAATAATAAACTAAAATAACAAATTTTGAGTTTTAACCTCTAGCCCCTCACGACCACTAGAACCACAAAAAAATTAAGAGGCTAGATTTTGTGAATAGTACCATTTTAAGAGGCTAAAACAACACCTAGTCCCTTTCCCCTTGCCCTTGCATTAGACATCCTCTTAGAATTACGAACGCGAATATTAACATGCCTTTTAAAATTTTGTCCCCCTTTTTAACAAGTTAAGTTGGGCCTGGATTATAGACTGAAGAGAAAGCCCTGTAACGGCGGCCCTTGAGTGTAAACACAAAAAAAGTCTGGGTATGTTCTGGGTCTGTTCTCTGCTAATGGTAAAGTGACAACTTGACAAGGGCCCTTGTGCATCTCTACCGGGCATCAAAAGCAACCAAACTATAATATTTCACAGCCCACCAGACCAGAAAAATGACATCTCAATAACTTTTTTTTTGTCTAATTCAAATGAGTCCCAATGGCTTGATTAGTCTTTACATTATATGACTTGAAAGTCACAGTCAACACATAAAACTCACCTGGAAGAACCACCCCACACACACAATATAGTAATTAATCAGAAATTTCCCACCAGGTCACCATAATCTTCACATTTTTCTCTAATCATAAAGCGTAAAGATTGTTTGGTACCGACTACCCGATTATTTATTGATTTTTATACATTATCATGTACTACTATTAATTGATATCCGGTACTAACCAATCGGTTTAGGTTATAAATACAGTAGCAACACAACCCATTTCATTTCACTCACTCTTGTTATCAAAGTACTCAAACCATGAATAACAATACACCTCACAACCTCTTCCTTCTTCTCCTTCTTCTACATACGCTACTATCATGCACCCTGGTTTGCATGGCCACTTCAACGTCTGACGTGGCCTACCCAACTGTCCCCGATGACTGCTTGTTGTTGGAGGAGGGTGTCCCTGTCCCGATTCGGAGAGAAGTGTATGATAACGGTCGAATATTCGACATCAGCCACAAGTACGTTCCCGACATGCCGAGTTTCGGCGTGGAGGACGGGCTTGGCGAGTTCCTGTGGCTCGGCCTCAGCATGAAGAACGGCTCACTGGTCAACGTGTCTATGATGAAGTTCAGTGTCCACTCCGGCACGCACGTGGACGCCCCTGGTCACGTGTTCGACCATTTCTATGATGCTGGGTTTGACGTTGATACGCTTGACCTTCAAGTGTTAAATGGTAATTAAATTAAGCAAGCATTTAGCAGCAGCTTGTTCAGACCAATTAAAACTGTTTTGAACTTTTGATAGGTCCTGCGCTGGTGGTTGATGTTCCCAGGGATAAGAACATAACTGGTATGCTTGTCTTTCTGAATTTCGATTCAATCTCTTTATTTTTTGGTTAATCAATTCATTATAAACTATATTTGAATTACTTTTCATGTTTTATTCAAACTAAAAGCATCATACATATATCTTCTTTTAGGAACTTTTCCCATAGAGAAAAACGATAATCTACTAAACTCACACATACACTTCACGAATGCTAGGACTCGTACATATATATCGATCTTTACTGTAGTAGTTTGATCCAAATCATTAACTTCAGTTGTTAAAGTTATCATTAAATTTGTTTAATCCGGAAAATGATAAATAACATTTTTCAAATTCCAATCGACAAAAAATTAATTAAATTTCTTAGATTTGACTTTGACTCAGTAGTATTATTTCTTAATTTTTTGTTTCTTGTATTGTATCAGCTGAAGTTATGAAGGCTTTGAATATTCCTAGAGGAGCACGTCGTGTGCTTTTCAGAACATCAAATACAGACAGGTATGATCTGTGTATCGATCAAAAATATATGTTTTTTTTTGGCTAATTAACTTTACTAAATCTTTCTAGTTGATAGTTACATCCAGAAACTTTACTGGTAAACTTGTTTATTTTCAGGAAGCTTATGTGGAAGAAGGAATTTGACACAAGTTATGTTGGATTTATGAAGGATGGGGCAAAATGGTTAGTGGAGAACACAGACATCAAACTCGTAGGTAAGGCTAAGGCATAAGTTAATAGTACTCATTCTTCTAATTCCATCGATATAAGTTTGATATACATTGTTCGCTGTTAAGTTAATTATCGGGTTTTGGCCTCCCCTTCCCCAAAAAAAAAATTGTTGTGCTTACACATTTTTCTCCATGCAAAGTGCAGGACTTGATTACTTAAACGTTGCTGCTTGGGATGAAGGAGTTCCAACTCATCATGTTTTTCTAGAACGCAGGGTAAGAATTAGTAATATTCATCTGATGAATTAGATTATTTGGTAAAGCTCTAATTTACTAACCCCACAAATTAATTAAGAATTATTTATCTAAATATATATAGGAGGTCATTCTTCTGGAGGGTTTAAAGCTTGATGGCGTTCCAGCAGGAATATACTCTGTTCATTGCTTGCCCTTAAGGTTGATCGGTGCTGATGGATCACCAACAAGATGCATTCTCATCAAATGAGATTTTGTGCAAAGTGCAGGACTTGATTACTTAAACGTCTGCACGCAGGAAGTTGAGTGTGTATAAAACAGAATAAAAGTCATTATATTTGAAGAAACTCGAATACTTTCTGAAAACATGTCAATTTGAATCATTTCTAGGCTTTGTGTGTCCCCGTTACTATATCTTTTTCTATGCATCAACAGCTTTCGAAGATATAAACGTAGAGGATAGACATTATTTGATACGAATTCATGCTTCTTTTTGGTGATCCAAAACCTCAAAGGTAAGGTAAGCAACGGATAGAATATATGGTTATATTTGTATATGCCACCAAGTTTTTTAGGCCTTCCAGGAGAATGATTTCTTGAAACATTAAACTTAAAATAGGGTTAGTAATTTAGGACCATTTGGTTGGCAAAATGAGTTGGTTGGCAATGCAACTCACAGGAACCAAAATTTCTTCAGGCAGTCAACTAAACTCTTACATTAAAAAGCGATCACAACTCATTTCGAAAATAAAAGGTCACCTAGTGGACATGCATGATTTCATCAACAATTTCATACTCATTTATCTGATATCGCTTAGTGTCAGCTTCTGAATGATCACAAGACAGACCTTCTGAATGGTTGTAAGGTATCATTCATTTCCTTTTCACTAAAGAAATAGGTAAGAATGAGCAAGTGATAGAAATAAACCTGAATAAATCCTCCTCTTTCAATAACTTCTTTGCAAAACAGATGCAAGGCAAGTGTTGTTTGTCTGAGATCAAAACTGCCCATTGAAAGAAAGATACTCAGATTAATTTTCACATTGAACCAAACCGATCAGAAGAGATCGCCAAGTGAGAACATAAGATAAAATATCTAAACCAGTAATTAGCATTATAATCATATATCAGCTTCCTATATATTCCACATGCATAAGTAAACCGAAGCTTGAATCTATCTTTTAAACATACTTAAGTAGCATAATCAAGCCAAATATGAATGTGACGAGAGTGATCTGAAGTTTTATGCCCAACATATTCAATGGCGGCACTACTGATTTCTGAATTAGAAGCTTCTAACTTGTGAGTGAGCAAAGGTTCCAACTTTGCTTCTTGTGAGCAAAGATTCCAACTTTTCTCGTCTTTTTCGAAGATTCTAACTTTGCTTTTCTTTTTTCCCACAACTTTCTCAAAACCACACATGGAATATATGAACAAAAGTTAGTGTTCGAAAAATCCGCCTAGGCGCCGCCTAGGCGGCCTGGGCGGGTCTGAAGGAGAAAATGCTTGCTTTTCTCTCAAAAAATAAAAAAAGCTTGCCTTTCAACACATTTCAAAAGCTAAAAACATAATGAAATTCCCTGAAACCATTGAACACAGAAACAGAAAATAGAAGAGAAAACCCAGATGCCCAAAACTCTAAAAATTAGGAAAACTCACAGAAGGTTCAGCCCAGACGAGTTGTGCAACTTGTTGAGTCTCTGATAGAAACTCTCAATCTCAGAGTTCTCCAACTACAGCAAGCTTTTCCCATCATCAGGCTTACAAAGTGTCACATTGGAATTCATAGTACCAAGGCATTGAGAACCATTTTTCTCAGTCTCTGGCTGGTTCTCAGTAGCCTTCATGTTGGAGAGAGAGAGCTTCACTTCAATGGCTGCACTCTGCTCTTTTTTCTATATTTGTAATCCCGAAAACTAAAGCCATCTGTCTATACATAGACATGCACATTATGCGCATGTTGGTGTTGCTGCAAAATGGATTAGCCTATGGGTTTACACGTAGGCCCCCACCCACTGTGTTGCTGCAAATCTTACTTTGTTTTAAATATCAACTTACCGAATTTTACGGTAGAAAACGTCGTAATAATAATTGGGCCATGAAAGACCTTATTAAGTAGAAAGGGCAAGGGAGCTGTTGAGATGGTACGAATGGGTATGTCATCCGTGCATCCTCGAGCTGCCTTTCCTTCGGCTTGTAACAAATGCAGGGCTATGAAAGTGTGTATATCTTCTTGCATTCGAGTTTAATTCTTTTCACGTATATTAGAGTAGTTTAGAATATTGTATTGTCAAATAAATAAAATTTTAACTTTTAAATTATTATTCATATTCTTCAATAAATAATCACAATTCATTCATATTTTATAATATGTACATATATTATATATGTGAATATTATACTTTAAATTCATAACATATCAATCATACCATCCACTTAAACTATATGACATGAATTAAAAACACTTAACAACGGGACGGGAGCGCTTTAGAATTCTCCAATTATTTCAAAGCCCCGTGTGACTCATGAAAGTGAGCTTCAACAGCATGAAAGGTGCCAAAGCAACCAGACAACCAAAATTATCCACTTAATTTGTATCGTGAGAATATAAAGTTCAACACCACCAGTACAGTATATGCTTCCTAGCTAGCTCAAAGTTTCAAACCATGAAAGACATAGCATCCCTGCCCCGCCACTTCCTTCTTCTTCTTCTTCTCCTACCATGTGCCGTCGTTTTCACCGTCGCCGCTGCCACGTCATCACCGAACCTGGCCTACCCCATGGTCCTTGACGACTGTTCGGTGTCCGATGTTGCTGCCCCTGTACGGAGAGAGGTGCATAACAACGGTTGAATATTCGACATCAGCCACAGGTACGTGCCTGACACTCCGAGTTGGGACACGCAGGACTGACTCGACGAGTTCCTGTGGATGGAGCCAAATGGTGTTGGAATTTCCATATAATAGCAAGTGTTCTTGCACATAAGGTATATGAGGAAACGTTTTAGAGAGAAAAGAGAGAGAGAGAGAGTCTATTAGGCAAATGATTGTATTATGCACACTGCCCATGTGTTCTCATTTCACTATCACTATATTCTATATCAGTACAAAAAATGACTCAGCCTTACAATTTAGTGTCAGCAATCTAAGCTGTACACTTGGCATGAATCTGGACATGTTAGTCCAACAATATGTAATGGCATATAAGCCATACACCTGTCTAAGCTAACAATAGAACCGGGAAACAATTTATACTTCAACACTCCCTTCTAAATTGTTAACTGGTTTAACACCAAGCAATCCTCTAAGATAGTTGAAACAATCTTTAGGTAGAGCTTTAGTGAAAATGTCAGCCACTTGTTCTTCAGACTTGCAGTATCTCAAATCCACTACCCCATCTTGCAAAGCATCTCGTATGAAATGATACCTGCGGTTGATGTGCTTAGTTTTCTGATGGAAAACAGGGTTCCTTGTCATGGAAATGGCAGAGGTATTATCTACCATTAATGGAGTTGCCTCAGTCTGCAATTCTCCAAAGTCTTCAAGCATAAATCTCAGCCATATAGCCTGTGTAGTAGCCTCACTTGCGCTGACATATTCAGCTTCAGCTGTAGAGAGGGCTACACTATGTTGTTTGACTGATGCCCAAGAGAATGCTCCACTACCAAAGGAGAAGGCATAGCCGGAGGTGCTTCTCATGTCATCTTGGCTTCCACTCCAATCACTATCACAATATCCAATTAGGATAGCCTCTTTTCCCTTCTGATATTCAATACCAAAATCAATGGTGCCTTGAATATACGTCCCTCTTAGCCGTTCCATAGTGTTTCTTTGTTGGGCAATGCATGAACCTTGCTAATAGGCAAGCTGCAAACATAATGTCTGGTCTTGTAGCTGTCAAATACAATAGGCTACCAACCATCTGTCTATATTCATTCTCATCTGTCTATATTACCGTGACATGTTGAAAACCTGTCAATTTGAATCATTTCTGGGCTTTGTGTACCCCCGTTACTATATCATTTCCTATGCATCAACAGCTTTCGAAGATACAAACGTAAAGGATAGACATTATTTGATACGAATTCATGCTTCTTTTTGGTGATCCAAAACCTCAAAGGTAAGGTAAGCAACGGATAGAATATATGGTTATATTTGTATATGCCACCAAGTTTTTTAGGCCTTCCAGGAGAATGATTTCTTGAAACATTAAACTTAAAATAGGGTTAGTAATTTAGGACCATTTGGTTGGCAAAATGAGTTGTTTGGCAATGCAACTCACAGGAATCAAAATTTCTTCAGGCAGTCAACTAAACTCTTACATTAAAAAGCGATCACAACTCATTTCGAAAATAAAAGGTCACCTAGTGGACATGCATGATTTCATCAACAATTTCATACTCATTTATCTGATATCGCTTAGTGTCAGCTTCTGAATGATCACAAGACAGACCTTCTGAATGGTTGTAAGGTATCATTCATTTCTTTTTCACTAAAGAAATAGGTAAGAATGAGCAAGTGATAGAAATAAACCTGAATAAATCCTCCTCTTTCAATAACTTCTTTGCAAAACAGATGCAATCCAAGTGTTGTTTGTCTGAGATCAAAACTGCCCATTGAAAGAAAGATACTCAGATTAATTTTCACATTGAACCAAACCGATCAGAAGAGATCGCCAAGTGAGAATATAAGTAAACCGAAGCTTGAATCTATCTTTTAAACATACTTAAGTATCATAATCAAGCCAAATATGAATGTGACGAGAGTTATCTGAAGTTTTATGCCCAACATATTCAATGGCGGCACTACTGATTTCTGAATTAGAAGCTTCTAACTTGTGAGTGAGCAAAGGTTCCAACTTTGCTTCTTGTGAGCAAAGATTCCAACTTTTCTCGTCTTTTTCGAAGATTCTAACTTTGCTTTTCTTTTTTCCCACAACTTTCTCAAAACCACACATGGAATATATGAACAAAAGTTAGTGTTCGAAAAATCCGCCTAGGCGCCGCCTAGGCGGCCTGGGCGGGTCTGAAGGAGAAAATGCTTGCTTTTCTCTCGAAAAATAAAAAAGCTTGCCTTTCAACACATTTCAAAAGCTAAAAACATAATGAAATTCCCTGAAACCCACTTGAACACAGAAACAGAAAATAGAAGAGAAAACCCAGATGCCCAAAACTCTAAAAATTAGGAAAACTCACAGAAGGTTCAGCCCAGACGAGTTGTGCAACTTGTTGAGTCTCTGATAGAAACTCTC